AATTCATTTCAAATATTCCATTATCATGTTCCTATTAAAAAAAAACTCCACCGGCAAAAGAAAGACCACCCCAACCGCTTTTTCAAGCTAAGAGAAACCTCAACCAAAGCTAATAGCGAAAGGGCACACACTCTGGCATCTTGACACACAGATCCGCCCTCACGGTTTGGGCCTTAACATGTGTTTTGAGACCATTGCCTTGTGTATGACTGCCGACTTACCATAGGTCAGTTTTTAACATTTGTTTTGATCCAAGGGATGAGTGAGTGATCATTTTTAAATCAAGTCCGAAAATTCACTTGCTAGTGGAGTCAAACTCGGGAACTGGTAGTTGCTACTAAAGCATTATAGTGAATATAATAGCAGACTACAAGTTAGCTGTAAGCATACATGGAGGAGATAAGAGAAGAAAGAGAAGGAAAGCGGATTACAGATTTATAGCCAGCTGCAACACGGACTCCAATACGTTATGTGTATAAGATGTGGGAGCATATATTAATGATGTAGTATATGTTTATAGATAATTATTGTATGAATGAGCTATTAAATTGGCTATAAATGAATTGGAGTCGATAGTTGGCTATACTATTAAACTTGCTCTTACAACCACTATGATACAAATCACAAGGTTGTTTTTATTTCTATGGGTTGGGAACCATTTCCTGCGCTCGGAAAACGGAAGGGTCCATTAGCGCGTGATTAATTCAGTATTAGCTAATTTTTTTTCAAAAATGAATCAATATTTTTTTAAAACAACTTTCGTATACTTTTTTTTAAAAAAAACGCACCATTTAGCAGCTTGAAGAACGTACGTGCGGAACACGAGGAAGACGGGTTGGGAACACTGAGCAAAGAACACAGGGTTAGAAAACATCGAAGGAGACCACCTCTCGCATGGCTTAGATATATAGCATGGTGCGAAAGATTAACGACAAAATTATATAACTGTAGACAACCATGAATTAGCTAGGGCGTGTCCGTTGGAAGGAGATAGAGCGAAAAAAAATATTTGCTTTTTCATGTGCACATTTTCTGAACCGTTAAATGGCACATTCTTCTTTTAAAGAAATATATAGAAAAGTTTTCTTTACAAAATCTTATTAATCTACTTTTAAGTTTAGAATAATTAATATTTAATTAATAATATGTTGATCATTCACATCGTTTTACATATATTCTCAATCTTCTTTTTCTCCTCTCAAACACATCCTTACCCCTTAGGAATTCACCAGAAAGCAGACATACATTATGCAAGTACTACTAATTAATTGTCTTATTGTATGCTGGCAACTTCGAGAGAATCCTGAGAATTTTTGGTTGCCAGCTCACTGAAATCACATATGAATGTGATCTCAAGAAAATGTAGGATTTTCTGATCTTGTGTCGGCCGAAACTTCTCATGGACGCATCAAGGACAATGTACCACTTGCTTGATCATTCCTGTGCCCAACTGCCTAATTGTCTCCATGGCATCAGGGCATAGGCACCTGGACCAGGAATCAATCTACCGGCAAGGCCGACCAAACTCTTGTTGCTAATTAATCACCCAACTTGATTTATCTTAAAGTCCATGATTAAAAACCGAAGTGATAAAGGCAATAATTATGCTTGTTAGCTCTAATTAAGTCTACCGGTCAGAAGGTAGCTGTTGGATATATCATATATATTCGGGTGTCTAGGTTGGGGCCCTTGGTGATTAGTCTCCATTTGTCATAAAATAAATTAACTTTTATATACGAATTTAGACATAGGCTATGTTAAGATTTATTTTGGGATATATGAAGTATGTTCCTATTGTTCCTCCATCCAAAAGTCAGACCTGTTTCTTTTGGCATCAAGACTAAAAAATAATTAACTCATTCACAACGTGACAAAACCAACAAACATGTAATCAATAAGTATAAAATAGCTTTTTAGTTTCGATTAACAATTTAATTTAGCACATAGTGACTACAAATAGGATTTATTTCTTTTTGAAAAACCAAAGAGTTGAATAGTTCTTAGAATTTTAGCAGGAGGGAGTAGTATAGACTACGGGTGTTTAATTAAGATGAGATTAGAGAAGGCATTAATAAGTGATGATTAATTGGGTTGGGATCGTGTGTAGGAGGATTTGACCCACTATAAATGCGCATAATGCAAAGGTGACATGCATATGTGCTGCATTTTTTTTTCGATTGATGATTGTGTGATTGAAAAGATGCCAAGTGAGATCTAAGTGAGCTGGAGACCAAATCTTTGCCGATATTTGATACGAACCAGCCTGGAGTACAGGAGGAGATGACATAAGCTGCCCTGATCTTTGCAGCGTGTGGTCGCGTACTTTGCCCAAGTATTGCATACTCCATTATTTAGAGCCACACGGGACATAAATTTATAATAACTCTGATTCCATTTCTTTCATATAATGAAATGAAATAATTGCCGCACCAAATTTGATTTCACAAGGATCTAGAAAGACGTCTCTAAACAAAAATAATTTTCAAAATTAATCATAGAGAATTCTACCATCGTCAGAAGGTTGTATTATTTCTTAAAAAAACACAGCACAAATGTAGATGGTCACAACTCACAACACACACTCTACTTTTATAAACATCTTCAAAATACTGGACCAATATATCTTGAGATTAATAAAGTTAGCATGAACATCTAACTGTTAACGGGTATATCGTTACAACTGACAGAAATTACTCGTGATAAATCTCAGTAAATTCATCAGGCACAATCGCAAGTACCTGAGGCAATCGAGTGCAATGATAACAGTTGATGATAATTTTCCTCTACTTTTTTTCTGCGAGGGGCGTTGATATCTTTCATTGGTGGTACGGATCTAATTACTGTCACGAATTCGGCCGACGACGGCCACGATATAACTGAATTTTTTTTAATTTTTAATTTTATTTAGTAAAATATTGACAAAACTATTTTTAATTAAAGTTTTACAAATCTACACCCCTAACGTCCTTGGGAGGGTGTTTTTAAAAAATCACTCTTCTAGAGGACATTTTTTAAAAATCACCCTTCTAGAGAACATTTTTTATGATATGGCACACGTCCTTTGGCGTTTTTTAATGGTTGTGTGAAATTTAAAAGGTGACACCCTTTAGCACTCTAGGACGGCGGTAATAGGGCTACCTGTTAAATAGCGACCTACGATATTTTGCAAACAGCCCCCTCATAGCACTCTAGAAGGGCGGCAAGGGGTCAACCTGCAAAATAGCCAGGCACCCTCCATGTGGTTATTAGAATACACCAACGGACATGTGCCACGTCATAAAAAACATCCTTTGAAAGGATGATTTTTTAAAAAAGCCCTCCCTGAGGATGTTAAGGGTGTAGATATATAAAACTTTGATGAAAAAAATTATTTTTGTAAATATTTTATTAAATAAATTAAAAATTTTAAAAATTCGACATAGCTTGACCTACTACTGAATTCAGCCCACCTACTTCTGCTCAAAGACACGAGTGAATTAAGCCCACCTATTTTGGACAACGAAATCAGCCCACGAGTCAACTAAGATGCCTACTTAAGGTGTGTTTAGTTCACGCTAAAATTGGAAAGACTAAAGTGTACGGACAGTCCTTGGGGTGTGTCTCTAAGTTCCTAAACTCTCAAAATATATATCCAAATCCTAGAACTTGTCATAGTGTGTCATTTAGGTCCCAAATCGCCACAACCCCTTCAGCATCCTACGTGGCGTTGATGTGGCATGCCACATGGATATGATGTGGCATCGTTTTGACTGACAAATGGGACCCATTTAAATTTTTTTCCTTTTTCTTTTTTCTTCTCTTTTTCCCCTTTTGTCTCCTTTCTCTGTGACCCGAGCAGAAGAAAAAAAAGAAGAATGAGAAGAAAACGAAAAAGAAAAATAAAAGAAGAAAAAAAGAAAATGACATGTCACGTCTATGTGGCATGCCACATCAGCGCCACGTAGGATCCTAGAGGGGATGTGTCGATTTGGGACCTAAATGATACACTTTGATAAGTTCTAGGACCTGGATATGCGTTTTGAGAGTTTAGGGACCTATATGACACAACCCTATAAGTTTAAGGACCGCCAATGCACTTTACTCAATTGGAAATTTGATTGAAATTAGAACGATGTGACGGGAAAGTTAGAAGTTTATGTGTGTAGGAAAGTTTTGATGTGATGGAAAAGTTAAGAAGTTTAAAGAAAAAGTTGGGAACTAACCCAAGCCTTAATTCAGAGCAAGAGTGGATTAAGCCGACAACGACCCCATCAACTAATTAGGCCTTTAAATTCAGCCCACTGCTCTGCTCTAATCACGTCCGGGTTCGGGGATTACAAAAAAGAAAACTCCATAGTGCCTCCTTCAACTATGGAGCAAGTATGATTTACCTCCCGCAACCGTATACTATAACACATTCTTTTAACATTCAAAACCAGACCAATTTGCCTCCTTTGGTGCTTTGCATATTGGTTTTATCCAATGTGACGCGGTTTTACCTGACGTGCCACATTTAACTTGATTCACATGTTCTCACACATGTTATTCAAGGAAAAAAAATAAAAATAATAGTACGGCCCACATGTTAGCCCTCCCTTACTGCTTCCCCCTCTCTCCCTCATGCTCTTTCCTCTAACTAGACATTTGGGCGCACGTTGTGCGCCCTATCAGTGAGGGCAGGTAGCACAACAATGAGAGCACTCGAGCAAACCAAATAATCCAAAGCATAGTTCTATTGGGGAGTCCATGAAAGTATAATAAAATATATTGCTGTAGACGGAATTTATGTTTTTACTTGTCAATATCAGATAAAACCATAACCATATGGAACAACATAACCATTTTTTGGACAGATAGTACGTAAAAAATGTGCCAGAAAAAACATTCTTTCCACTGTTACATAGTTTGCAGTACATAACAAATTGTGCCACGGAAATATCAGCCAATGTGTTGCGCATCCTATCAATGGACAGACAGTATAATCAAGGAGCCAAAGGGCTAATATTTAGAACACCACATAGTTGGTTGTCTGAAAGGCCATTCTTAAGGCTTGATTATAATCAGTTTTTATATGCAATACAATCAATAAAATTTGCCAACCACATTGGCTCGCTAAACTGTAGAATACATGCAACACCGGAGTTTCATCTAAGCAAAAGTAACGGAACAACATTAGCTTTCAGTCTTGAAGTACCTCAGAACCTTAGTATGTTTAACTGCTATAGTAAGTTTAAGTGCTATGCATCTAAAATTAGATAATATATACCCCATCTGTATTTTAATGTATGACGCCGTTGACCTTTTGATAAACGTTTGACCTTTCGTCTTATTCAAAAAATTTATGTAATTATCATTTATTTTATTATGACTTCATTTATAATCAAATATTCTTTAAGCATGACATAAGTATTTTTATATTTACATAATAAAATTGAATAAGACGAATGGTCAAACGTTGGTTAAAAAGTAAACGACGTCATTAAAATACGGAGGGAGTATAATTGAAGCAGTGCTTCAGAGAGATGCCGTTGGGGAGTGCGCATAAGCTGCAGCTCATGGTTTTTGTAACGTTGATCCTGCAACACCTTCTTGATGGCAACTCTTTTCCTGTCTCCAAGCACTTAGCGTAAATGTCAAAACCACATCATTTCGATTCAGAACATATCAAAGAAATGTACTCCCTCCGTTTTAAAATGTTTGACACCGTTGACTTTTTAGTACGTGTTTGACCATTCGTCTTATTCAAAAAATTTAAGTAATTATTTATTCTTTTCATATCATTTGATTTATTGTTAAATATACTTTCATGTACACATATAGTTTTACATATTTCACAATTCTTTTTGAATAGACGAACGGTCAAACATGTGCTAAAAAGTCAACGGTGTCAAACATTTCGAAACGGGGGAAGTATAATACACACTAAGCATGCATTTCCATAAGACCAAGCACATTACGTGGAAGACAATCCCGAATGAATCATTTCCTAGAACTCGCTCTGCCATATATCTAATTGTCTGCAGTGAAGGTAAAAAGCATCACATGAGAAATAGAGCACAATATCTCAGATTGACATATTCTATGTTGTGCATCAGAGTCCCAGCTTACCATGACTAACTAAAATTAGAAGTGAAGCATATCTATTACCTTCCCTAGAAAGAACAGATTGTGAAATAGCGAACATAAAAGGAAATCATCTTTCATAAACCGTTGCATCAACTTTGTTCTATCTATGGTAGAGGAATAGACCAAATGAAACCTCCTGTATTACATGCACAGTATCAAATGGAACCAAATTTCTTGTTTGCAATTTTTTAACGGCGAGAATCTTAAGTTGAACAACAAAAAAATATGGGGAAGGGAACACTACAACCTCATCAAGGAAAAAAGTGGAAGCAAGGTATGCTCTGTCATAGTGGCTGGTGGAATCAGAGAATGAAAATCAGTCTTCAGAACTTCTCTGTCAAGGTAGAAGTGGAAGGAAAATTGCTCCAGCTTCTGTGTTGTGCTTCTGACCACACAATTTCCATCATATTGTTAGGCTGTGCCATCCATCAGCTGATATTGTGAGACATTGTATGCATTATGAGATTGTAGAACATATTGGCAGGTTGGTAGCTGATATTATACCATAAGGAACTATATGCATTATGAAACTGTAGAGCAAATGATTTCAGATCTAACCTGCATTGTCCAGATTAACTTGCTAGGTTATTATATGCCACTTGGACATGAAACATCAGATTGATCAAGTCTCAACCACCTTCTGTTAGTAATTCTCAGAAGATAATGACCATCTTCTGTTAGTAATTCTCAGATGATAATGATTAAATGAATGTTGCAATTTAGGCTGCATGGATTGATTAAACAAAAAGCAGTAATGCAAACAAATGATTCAATATTTCCATCCTTTATTTTACTTCAATGGGTAAATTGAAATTAGAAATAATCTGCAACAGAGAAGCTACAAACAGTAGCCTAGGAAGTATAAAGAGAATGCAGTGGTGATCGATTGATCTAGCCTAAAAGTTGCTTTGACACATACATTTCGAAGTACCAACAGATAAAACTCAACTCTGAAGACCACATTGCTTAACTCACAACTTTTGTTATTGTAAAAAGAACTGCAATTCATAAATTGAATAATGGAAAACATAGTGATTCAACAAACGATGGATAAACAGATTACTCTGAGGTGACTGCAGCAGAGCCACCAGCTGCTCAATGCTAAGCCATTGTTGTTGCTTCATCAGCTATGTGTACTCTCTTAGCTGCTTAATAAGATAGTAGCAGAAGGAGCAAGCACGGAAGTCCAGATTAGCCTTACCATGGACCAGATCTGGTTTCTTCTAATAGGAACGACCAGCGCCTGCCCATGCGGCTCCTTCGCTCCACCACGCGGGGCCACGCTAGCGTGGGCTCTGCTAGTCTGCTTGTCTTGACCGCTGGACACTCAAGGCATGCACCGCCGTGAGGACTGCGAAAGCAGCTTCGCCCAAGGCACCGCCTGCTGCTGATGTTGCTGCTCCTTCCAGCGCGAGCTCTCCGCCACAGTGACCGCCGGAGGAATCATTTCTGATCCGCGTGGGAGGGTCTCACCTTGGGACGCTCCGGCGGAGGAGGAAGGGGACGGAGAGGATTGCTTGGAGGCAACCACGGTGGTGGAGCTTCGGCAAATCTCCACCATGGCGCCAGTCGGGGCAGCAATGGAGTGGCATGATCTGGAGGGGGTGTCGATGGCAGAGTGTAGTGGAGGGCACGTGGGAGTGGTCGTCAACGGCGGAGAAAAGCGAGCGATGGCCGGCCGGCCGTCGCCGCCGTGAGGGCAAGAGAGAGAGCAAGAGGGGAACAGCGGTCGAGTGGCGGCTAGGGTTTGGGGGAGGTGGAGCCTGGAGGGATGTTCGGTTTCGCAAAAAGACCCCTCACTTTACGCTTTTCAGAGCGCACTCCTGTTTTCCGAATTTTCTCTTCTTAGCATAAGATATTTCATATTTCAGAGGGCCGGGGCGTAAGAATACATGGCTGAGGAATGTACGTCTAGGGATCTATAACAAATTATCGGTAAAATCAAGAGGTTTTTTGAAAAGTGATCAGTCCCACAACCCGGCGCTCGCTCGCGAAATCTTGCTACCTGGGCGTTCGGGGGCGACGTGGATAGCGCGGCGATCGAACACACGACTCCAAATCGCTGTGGGAGCTTCAGTTGGGGGCAGGTTTTAATTTAACCGATTCTTGTGTCCTCCTCCAACACCTTTCATCTCTACGAGGGTTTTCACTTTCGATTTCACCGAAAATTTTGACCTTTTCGATAAAACTGATATTCCCAAAATTTTGAGATCCTCGGCACTTTTTGGACAAAAAGTTTATGAAATTTTAACACAATTTAATTGAATTAAACTAAAATTTGACCAAATTCACAAAAAATTGAGAAAAACCAAAATTTTTGGTCGAGATAGTGGCTTGCCGAGGAGAGGGGGTATCCAAAATTGCAATCACTGATCCCTACCACCATGCCTCTCCCATGCACTACCTTCGCTCTAGCCACACTCTCTCAACAGGCCTTCTCCGGGCGTGTAGCCACCCACACGGTGGTTGGTCTGGGTGTCCATGGAGTTTTTATTTGTCAAGGCAATAAGTTATATGCGGTACTTCATCTGTTTATAAATATTTTGATACGTAAAACAAGATTTAGTCAAAAGTTAAAACTTAGACAATCACTTTTGTATTACAGTAAGTTTATAAAGAATCTAGTAATTAAGTTTATGATATTACATACAACAATGCTTTTCAAAGCAAATATACTCATACTATTTTTTTTACTTTTAAAGTAAGCATTATATTTGAGAAACTTTTGATAGCTAAAGTTTTAAAAGTTCGTCCTAACATCAAATATATGAATGGAGACAGTAAATAAATACTCCATTAGTCATTATTTTTTAATAAACGGTGCCATTGACTTTTAGGATAACGTTTAACCATTCATCTATTTTTTAAAAAAAATTATATAAATATCATTTATTTTTTTTGGCATGTTTTATCATTAAAGAAACTTTAAGTTTGTCTTATACTTTAGCATATACTCCCTCCGTTTCGTAATGTAAGTCATTCTAGCATTACCTATATTCATATATATGTCTAGATTTATTAACATCTATATGAATATGTGCAATGCTAGAATGACTTACATTATGAAATAGAGGAAGTATATGTTAATTTTTAAAATAAGACAAAGGCTGTGTTCGCTGGTGCTCGTTCCCAGCAGGAACAGTATGCACAGAAAACGAAACGGTCTATTAGCGTGTGATTAATTAAGTATTAGCTAATTTTTTTTAAAAAAATGGATCAATATGTTTTTTTAAGCAACTTTCGTATAGAAATTTTTTTTAAAAAAAACACACCGTTTAGCAGTTTGAAAAGCGTGCATACGGAAAATGAGGGAGAGGGTTGGTAACCTGGAGGTCTGAACACAGCCAAAGGAGCAAACGTTATTTGAACACAGCAAAAATTAAAGATGTTTTTGCCGGTACTTTTGGTACGTCATCCGTGTATGAGTCGGTTTTTAAGTTCATTCACTTTTAGAAATACAAATCCGTATTTGAGTCGGTTTTTAAGTTACTTCATTTTTGGGAATATATAAGGAATCGTATAAATAATCTCTTAAAAAACTCGCATGCTAACTTAAGATGATCGGGCTTCTAATTGTAGCACATGTTTTTCTAACAAAATATATATCCAAGCGAATTTAACACAATGAATTTCACCTTAACTAAACCTATAATAATAATAAGATTAAAATAGTCTTCACCTATTGCAACGCACATGCATTTTTCTAGTCTACTAGCAAATATGCCCGTGCGTTGCAACGGGTGAAAAAACGTAATGATAATATACGTTTTTCATGCATAACCATGTCGATAACAATTAGAAAATTAGAACTACGAAACTTTATTTTCTAGATAACAATTAGAAAATTAGAACTACGAAACTTTATTTTCTAGCGCGTTTTCTTTTGTGCTTTTTTCTGACATTTTTCCCTCACGTGTTTTTTTAAACCGTTTTTATTTTCTCGCGCATTTATTCCTTTTTTAATATACTGTAGAAACTTCTCTTTTTATAGTTAGATTAGATTAGATTAGAGATAAAGAAGATATATAAATGGACTAAAAAACGACGAATATAAATTTGACTTTTTTCCTCCGCGCTTTTTTCCGTCCTTTTAATTTTTTTCTCGTGCATTTCTTTTACGAAGGGTTTTTTTCACCACTTTCACATAGTGTCAAACCTTTCTAGATATAATAGGATTCGATTTTTTTTACCGCATCACGTATAATTCCTTTTTCTTTAGAAACAGACAATTTTTTCGCCCTTTTTTATCGCGTCAACGGAGTCGGAATTGTTTTGATTTTTTCCCCTTTTTTTGGATCGGACAGATTTTTTTTTTGCCCGGTTTATTTCGCCCGATCGATTTTTTTTACCGCGTCACATATAATTCCTTTTACTTTGTATTTTTTTCGCCCTTTTTTTACCGCGTCGACGGAGTCGGATTCGTTTTGATTTTTTTCTCCCTTTACTTTGGAATTTTTTCGCCCTGTTTTCACCACGTCGACGGAGTCGGATTCGTTTTGATTTTTCCCCTTTTTGGCTTTTTTTGATAGGACAGATTTGTTTTTTTTTCGCCCCGTTTTTTTATCGGACTTTTATCTTTTTTTTCGCCTGGTTTTTTTATTTTTTTTACCGCGTCACATATAATTCCTTTTTCTTTATCGGAAAGTTTTTTTTCGCCTTTTTTTACCGCGTCGATGGAGTCAGATTCTTTTCAGCTTTTTCCTTTTCTTTTATCGGACAAATTTTTTTTTTCGCCCATTTTTTTTCTCCTGTTTTTTTCGGATCGGACTATTTTTTTCTTTTTTCGCCCGGTCGATTTTTTTACCACGATATATATAATTCCTTTTTCTTTGGAATAGGACAGTTTTCTTTTTATTTTTTTAAACTCTTTTTACCGCGTCGATGTAGTCGGATTCGTTTCGATTTTTTTCCTTTTTTTGCTTTCTTTTTTGTCGGACAGATTTGTTTTTTTTCCACCCGGTTTTTTTCCGCCCAGGTTTTTTTATCGGACTTTTCTTTTTTTTTTTGCTCCACGATACATATAATTCATTTTTCTTTGGAATAGGACAGTTTTCTTTTCATTTTTTTAAACTCTTTTTACCGCGTCAATGTAGTCGGATTCGTTTCGGTATTTTTTCCTTTTTTCCCTTTTTTTTTGTCGGACATATTTGTTTTTTTTCCGCCCGGTTTTTTTTCGCCAGGTTTTTTTATCGGACTTTTCTTTTTTTTTCGCTCGGTTTTTTTCTCCCGTTTTTTGACGGACGACAGAAGCACCTAGAGAAGTGTTTTTTTTCTTTTCTCCAATCCAATACAGATCGGATCTCTTCCAGGGAAATCAGATTTTTTTTCTCCAGGGAATCGGACTCTTTTTTTCGCTTTTTTTATTCATTAAACGGTTTGTCTCTCGGACTTTTTTTTCCTTTTTAAGGGATCGGGTGTTTTTTTGCCAGGGACGGGTGTTTTTTTCGCCCGGTTTTTTTTTTCACTTTTTTTTTGGATCAGACTTTTTTTTTCGTCCGGTTTTTTTGATCAGACAAACTTGGTTTTTTCTGCCCGTTTTTTTTCACCCGGTTTTTTTGACGGACGATGGAAGCACCTCTTATTTTTTAAGTAGATAGTAGATAGATAGATTAAAAAGATGTAGTAAAAACACGTACGAAAAAAGTGGCTACTTTCAAATGCTACTTTAACAACTGTTGCTACTTTCAACTCTGGCTGGAAATAGTTGGCATATGTGACGTGGTCTCATGTCTATTCGTGTATTAGTGTATTCTAATTCTACTAATCGGATTAGGATAGGCCGATCATAGAGTTGATATATAGCCTCTTCTCCAACGGTAATCTCCCTCCGACGATGCACTGGTAGAGAAACCATCTTTGGTCGGTCGACCCATATCCATAATAGTCCCGGTTCCATTAAAAACCGGGACTAAAAATGATTTTTAGTCCCGGTTAATAAGAGGAAGATCTTTAGTCCCGGTTGGTAACTCCAACCGGGACTAAAGATGATCTTTAGTCCCGGTTGATTCCATGTCAGGTTGTGTCAGGGCCCTATGATCTTTATTCCCGGTTAGTAACACCAACCGGGACTAAAAACCTATTTTTAGTCCCGGTTGGTGTTACTAACCGGGAATAAAAATCAAAACACACTATATAATCCATAGTACCGATCCTCTTTTCCCGTCCACACAACAAACTCCTCCCTCTATCTCTTTTTTTCCTCTCTAACTTCTTATCTCTTTCCTTATCTTTAACTCCCCTCCTCTCCTTCCTTTTTTCCTTCACCACAGTGCAGGCGGCCGGTGCGGAGGCGGCGACGCAGGGGACGGCGCGGAGGCGGCCTGCATGGCGGCCGGCGCGGCAGCGCGGGGGGCCACGCGGCGGCGGCGGTGGGCGGCCGGCGCGGCGGCGCGGGAGGCCGCGCGGAGGCGGCGGCTGCGGTGGGCGGCCGCTCGGCGGCAACCGGCGCGGCGCTGGCCGGCCGGCGTGGAGGGGAGGAGGGGAGGCGGCAGTGGCCGCCGGCTGGATTTTTTTTCTTTTTTTTTTAGATGTGAATCTGTGATGTATTTTTGTGTGAGATGTGAATCTGTGATGAATTTTTTAGAACCCTGTGATGTAATTTTTTTAAGAGTTTGTAATGTATTTGGAGATGATTTGTTTGAGGATTTGGAGATGTTCTATAATATGTGATGATTTGGATATGGGAGGGGATGGTGTGAAATCAATATTCAATATTAAAAGCAGAAAAAAAAAGAAAAAATATCTTTAGTCCCGGTTGGTGTTATCAACCGGGACTAAAGATGCTCCCATCTTTAGTCCCGGTTATTTAAACCGGGACTAAAGATAGCGATCTTTAGTCCCGGATTCGTAGTCCCGGTTAAAAAACCGGGACTACAGGGGGTTACGAACCGGGACTAAAAAGCATTTCTCCACCAGTTATGGTATTCTCCACGAGTATGACATACTTTGGACATGCAAGGACTCAAAGGAGAATGTGAAGACGTAACTGATTACATATTATATACTGTACATTACAATTAAGAAAAACATGCAAGACAATACAGCAGTTAACTAGTAAGAGAAACATTAGGTACCCACCGTTTCTATCGATAGGCCGGAATACAATTTCTTACGTGACCAACGATCGAGGCAACGACCCCGTATATATATATATACAGCATGAATGCACACAGCTGGATCTCAAGAAGGAAAGAAAAGCTAATCTATTATATTATTAAAGAAATAGAAAAATGAGCCTCTACGTTCGCTCTCATGGCCTAGAAATTCTCACATTAATTGGAGAAAAAGAAAAAGCAGAGTCCATATAAAAATACAATTTAGAAATAGCTGAAATTCGGAATTAAAAAATAAAGAATATTAGAAGAGGAGACTAGAGTTCATATAGAAATATAATTAGAAAATAGCTGAAATTCGGAATTAAAAATAAGGAATATTAGAAGATGAGTATAGAGTCCATATAAAAATATAATTAGGAAATAATAAAAATTCGTAATTAAAAATAAGGAATATTAGAAGTAGAGTATAGTGTCCATATAGAAATACAATTAAGAAAAAAAATAGAAATTCGGAATTAAAAAATAAGGAATATTAGAAGTAGAGTATAAAGTCCATATAGAAATACAATTAGAAAATAATAGAAATTCGGAATTAAAAATAAGGAATATTAGAAGTAGAGTAGAGTCCATATATAAATACAATTAAGAAAAAAAATAGAAATTCGGAATTAAAAAAATAAGGAATATTAGAAGTAGAGTATAAAGTCCATACTAAAATTCGGAATAAACATAATAAAATTAAAAGTAGTGCTTAGAGTCCGTATAAAAATATAATTTATAAATAACTAAAATTCAAAATTAAGAAAAACATGGGAAGAAGAGTTTAAAGTCAATATAGGAATACAATTTAGAAGTAACTGAAATTTGAAATTAAGTTTAGAGTCCACGTAGAAATACAATTAGAAATAATGAAAATTCAGAAATTAAAACAATAAATATTAAAAGACGAGTCTAAAGTCCATATAAGAAGAATATATATAATTTACAGATAACTAAAATTTAATATTAAAAATAATTAATAACTAACACGTATGTAAAATACAATATGAATATTACACATTAGTGGTTTCGTAAAGTTATTGCAAAATTTAAAATGATGTTGTCATTTTAATATATTTGAATAATATAATGAGAAAACATATGTGCTATTATATGAGAGAAAATATAATGATACTAGCCGCACAATCTGTACGGGCCACCATGCTAGTTAAGGTGAAGACAATTGATTAAGAAGCAACCTTGATCGAGCTAGCAACAACAGCGTCGACCAGAGAGGAGGAAGAAGAGATCGAAGAAGATATGGCGGTGGCGGCGCCATCCTTCCCCGGGATGGTGCAATGGTGGGAGGAGTGGCAGCTCCGCGTGCTCGCTCTCACCAGCCTCTTCCTCCAGCTCTTCCTCCTCGTCTCGGCCACGTTCCGCAAGTACCGCGTCCCGGCGCTCCTCCGGTCATGCATCTGGCTGGCCTACCTCGGCGGCGACGCGCTGGCGATCTACGCCCTCGCCACCGTCTTCAACCGGCACAGGCAAACGGCCAGCACAGATCATGGCTCCGTGCTGGAGGTGATGTGGGTGCCCGTCTTCCTCGTCCACCTCGGCGGCCAGGACAGCATAACCGCGTACAACATCGAGGACAACGAGCTGTGGGCGCGGCACGCCGTGGCCATGTCGTCCGAGGCGGCGGTGGCCGTCTACGTGTTCTGGAGGTCATGGTCCGGCGGCCAGGTGCCGGAGAGCTCCCCGGCGCTGTTGCTGTTCGCCGCTGGGTTCCTCAAGCTAGGCGAGCGGCTGTGGGCTCTCCGGCGAGCCAGCTTTACCAGGCTAGCCGCCGTGAGGTCCTCCGCCGCCGGCCGGAGGACGCCGGCGAGGGAGGAGGAGGAGGACGCCGGCGATGATCATATTCCGTTAGAGAGCTATGTACACCTAGCAAGCGGCTACGTACAGAGCCAGGCTACTGGTGACCATGTCCCTAGGCCCAAAGACAATTACGTGTTCCATGTCCATCCGCTGATCGAACCCGAGCTCCAAGATGTGCTCATGGAGCTCTTCGTCGACTTCCCTGCACCCTATCCTCGCCGCCTTGCCTACCTCAGGTCGTTCTTGGCGCTTGAGGACGACGACGCCTACGAGGAGCTCTGCGCCCTGCTAAATCAGGCGTTCCAGTTCTTCTACACCAAGAAAGAGGCCGCGTACACCGTCGTCGGCATCTACCTTCGCACCCTTCACCATGCTCCTGGGCATCGCGGCCATTGCAAGCTTCAACGACAGTCGCAAGGACGGGTTTGACGGCAGCGATGTCGTGGTGTCATACGTCCTGCTCTGCTCGACGCTCGTGCTCGAGATCTGCGCCCTGCTGTGGCTAGCCGATTGGCGATTCGTCACGTCGCGGATCCAGCCGGAGATGCAGCGCACGGTTGCGCAGTTCAACCTAATCGGCTTCGCCACTCGTAGACGGTGGCCAACCATGGTGGTGATGCGGATAGCGGCGTTGTTCAGATGCAAAAAGTATGTCAACCAGCACTGGTATCTTGGGCATCTTTCGTCAACCCCCATAATCATAGAGTTCATCGGCAAAGACTTGAAATCTAGATGGGTGGATGATCTAACCAACGCCGCCGCCTACCGGAGATTCAATGACCGGAGAGGCCAGTGGACTCTCCGGCGAGAGAGGTGCTACCAAGAGTTGGGATGGAGCGTGACCGAGCTGCCGTTTGACGAGGCCGTCCTTGTCTGGCACATCGCCACGGACATCTACCTCGATTGCAATAATGGCATCGAAAATCCACCGGCTACCGCCGATGAGCGCGCCGCCGTGAAATGCTCGCGTGAGATATCCAACTACATGATGTACCTGCTCTTGTTCCAACCGGACATGCTAATGCCCGGCACCCGACAGAGCCTGTTTGCTGTGGCCTGTCGCGAAATCAAGCACGCGTTGAGGGACCAGAGGCAGCGGCTCGATGAGAGGGGAGTTGCACGTTGGATTTCTGAAAACCCAAATGCTGCACAACCTGGAGACCATCTCGCAGCTGCACGTAGGCTTGCCGAAGCGATGATGCAGATGAACGATGCAGGAAGGATGTTGAAGGTTATCAGTGGGGTGTGGGTGGAGATGATATGCTACTCCGCGAGCAGATGCAGGGGATTCCTGCACGCCAAGAGCTTGGGTGCCGGCGGGGAGTTCCTCACTGTCGTCTGGCTCCTACTACATAGAATGGGCATGGAGGTCTTGGCCGACAAGCTCCAGAAGCCGGAGATTCCTCGACATGTACAAATTCTTCCTTAGCTTTGTTTTTAATCCATAATCCTCTGTTAAAATGTTTTGAGGACAATTGTCATCTACATGTTGAATGAATGAATGAAATTAATGAATCAGACATTTGAGGGTGATCATTGTGTAAACAACCATTCTAGTTCTTGTATTCTATCTATCTACCATATATAGTTCACCAACTGAGCGGGGTCTCATGTACATATACAACTGACACTTATATTACTTATTCATCAAATCCAATGTCCCACGTACATATACAATAATTAGATGGTCACGATTGACTCCACATCCCTCTGACACCCGCCGCCTCATCCCACCCGACCCACGCCCCGCTACCCTCTCCACCCGTGATCCCTCCCCTAACCCTAATGTGCGCCGATGCCAGTAACGATGAAGAAAGGGAAAGAGAGGAGGGAGGGAGAGAAGACCCGGTCAAACCAAACATGTAGACACCACGTCAGCTGAAACCGTCATCCAAACTGTCTTAGGATCAAGTTTGCACCGGTTTTTAGAGTTGAAGGTTGCATTGCATCTCGTATTTTAGTTCAATGATGAATTTTAGACTCGGTGTCAAAATGAAGGATCTAAAGTGAACTTATTCCATGAACCCACACCACGTACTTCCCATCAAAGAATTCGTCGGTCCAACCCACACGAACTGGCGAAATTGGTTGGGAATAAGTTCACTTAGACTCCCGTTGAGTAATCAAATCTTATTTGTATCCCTGAACTACAATACCAGATAGCTCGACCACCCAACTATTAAAACCGATGCAACTTGACTCCCTCGACAGTTTTCAAGGGCGGTTTCGCTAATGTTGCGCCTACGTGGTGGTATTGACCTAGTCTTCGTTTCATGTGATGTTGACATGGCTCTTATGTGGCATTAAAATTAAAAAAAATACATGTGGGACCTATTTCTCATTCACATAAAAATATTATAAAACCCACTGACGTGGTAGGGCCCACGTGTCATTCTCTCTCCTTCCCTTCTTCCTCTTCCCTTCTCTCTCTTTCTTTCCGTATTTCTCCTCCCCTTTGACGTGCGCGGGGAGCAGGGGCCAGATCGGTAGTGGTGGCGGTGGCAGGTGGGGGTTGGAGAGGCGGACGGGCGCTGGAGCGGCGACGGCAGCATGTGGAGAGAGGGAAGAGGATAAGGAAGGATGAGGTGGCTACCTTGCGACGGTGCGAGAATTTGGATTGGTGGCGATGGCAGCCGGAGAGGGAAGAGAGAGAGAGAGAGAAGGGGGCGGTGGTGGATGAGGATTTGGGAGCGGGAAGGCGAGCATGGGGTAGTGTGGCGAAAAGCGAAGCTCGCTGGCCTTTTTATAGGTGAGCGCTAGTGCTACACGGTGCGGGAGAGAGGCGGTGGTGTGGCTCCCGGTGTGGCATGTATGTGCTGGCCGTGGCAGTGGCACAATGAGCATTTGGCGTGGGTGACAGCGCCATGATGACGTTGGGCAGCGTGGGGAAGATGGGATGCAGGGCGGCCGCGACGCGACGATGATGGGTTGAGTTGGACGGCGCCCTTTCCGCCATCCAATTGGTCGCAGGCGGCGATTTAAATGACACGCTTCCAACAGGCGTCGCTGTCCTTCTCCCGTCCTTTCCCTCCTAATCCAAGCTGTCCACACGACTCCCGTCCTCCACTCTTTGCTTCGGTATCTTTCGTTCATCGAGAACCGCCGCCATTCACCAGAATACCGTCAGCCACCATCGGTCGTCGATGCGCTCGCCTGCCTCCACGTCGCACGGCTTCAGCAAGAGGTGGCCGCTGATCGCCCCACCACGCTCAGGGCGCTCGACATGGGGCTAATCATAGGGGGGAAACCTCTTCCGGGCCGACCTCGAGCCCGCCATAGCGCGCATCATCGCCGACCCTGGTAACGACGGTGAAGCGAAGGCCATCGATGAGGAGACCCAGCCGGTCCTTGGTTATCTCCCGCAGCAGCGTAGCCCTCCGCCCCTCCTCCGCCGGCGGCGCCCTAGCCCGTGGCCAAATGCCACCGCCTATGCTCCTGCTCCCGCCCCCCCCCTCCAAACGAAGAGAAAGGGGAGAGAGAAAGAGAGAAGGGAAGAGGAAGAAGGGAAGGAGAGAGAATGATACGTTGGCCTCACATGTCAGTGAGTCCTACAATATTTTTTTATGTAAATGATAAATGGATCACACATACATTTTTTTAATTCTAATACTACATAAGCACCATATCAACATCACGTGAAATGAAGACCAAATCAATATTGCTACGTAGGCACAACGTCAACGAAATCACCCTCCAAAACCGCTGAGGAAGTCAAGTTGCACCGGTTTTAATAGTTGAGGAGTCGAGATATTCGGTATTGTAGTTCAGGATACGAATCAAATTCGGTCACTAGATAAGGGAATCACACTGAACTTATTCCAATTGGCTGACATATTTTTAGCCTACGATTCAGCCCATCCAAAGACGAAAGAATTAGGCCAGATAGGCCGGGAATGCATCTCATCTCATGTTAGAATTGCTCGCCACGGCAGGCCTGCAGCAGACTTGATATAGTTTCTTTACGAGAACCCTTCAATTGAGAGTTCAGACAAGCTCAGATGGCAGGAAAAATGCAATTATCACATCAATTATGCTAATACTGGGAGTCTGGGACGCCCCAAAAGGAAAAGAAACAAGAAAAGCTAATCCAGGGACAGAAGCCACCACAAGCTAATAATTCACTAATAATCTTGTATGGAGTGCCAAACTTTTACATCCAAAAAGTTCCAAATAACATGAAAACCTGGAAATTTCAGAGCACATGCATTTCACTTTCCTTCTGTTCTCCCCTCTTTTTTCTACCAGAAACGCTAATTCCAAACGGAGAAGTGGAGGGCAAAATAACCAGCAAAACAGGTGTGGCCTATGCCTTTGCCTGTACAGCCTGCATCTTCTGTTGCAACTTGAAGATCTACAGAAACAAATATATTTTTTAGTGAGGTCTTCAAAATAATCCTATTTCATAGGGTTCAACTAAATGCAATGTCATTATTGTCCTATGTCATGCTCTGATGATGTGCAAAGTACAGCCAAGTCAATAGTTCTAGAAAAGATTTGTAGCAATTAAACTAAACTAATCTGTTAACCGTGCCAAGATAATTGAACCTTTTACGGTTAGTATGGCATCATGTAAGAATGCAGGAACCTACCAGCAAAACAATTTCACCAATACTATCTCAGTGTCATGCTCAAAATAGAGAAGTCAGATTAAGATTCTTTCCAAAAACATATATCCCAGTTTTTAATCTCAGTCCTAAGACTGAAAAGACATTGCAAACCTGTATGAGCACACATATTGCAGCAGTTTCAGCTAGTTTGATAAGATGTATTTGGTTTGTACTCTACTGTCTAGTTTCTAGATGTCTACTCCAAAGAACCAGACAACTTCAGCACAGAACATACAGTAGATGTCCAAGCAAAGAAGACAAAAGAACGTCTAGGGGGCCGCCCCGTCTTCAATAAGGAACTATCTTTCTGGGCAACACACATGTTGATGTATTATAGGCTGAAAACAACCGAAATACCCAATCGTGGTGATCAATGGATGAGGATGCAAACTGAAATTTTTTAAAAAAACTACAAACTTTAAGGCTCTCTGCGTAATCAAACAGATAAAGAGAGAGGAATGCACGGGAGACCCTGAGAGGAAGGAAGATTTCAGATAGTTGCGTCAAGAGTCACGACCAGCTTGCAAGCCAACCATGGCACGGGTTCAGCACTAGCTTCCTCACCTCCAAGCTGCTGCCTTTTTCATTCAGTATGCCTCTCCTATTTGACTCAGCATACTATTTGCCATAGCATACTGAATGACTCTGTGTCCTAGTTGATTCAGCACAAGACCACCTACTATTCCATCTCACAAAAGTACAAAAACCTTTACAAGCATCAAAGCTATGGCAAAGATTTGGGGTAGTTGTATGGTGGATCAAGACTGCAAAATAATCCTAGCTACTTGGATTAGCCCAAAAATAAGTCCCAGCGAGAAGGAAATATGGGCTTATAAGAAACATAATCAAGTATCCCTAAGTTCACGCCAAGAGTCAAAGAGAACATCACCATGTTTGAATACTTGAACAACCAAATTTATTTTATTTCACAACTCTTTAACCAACCATTCTCACCAACAATGTGGCATATAAGTTTAAACATTGATGGATATCATTCTAATCCTTTTGCCAAGTACCTTCTTTGTAGTTCCTCCATTTTCAAATACTTGGTGCACCAGACTTCTCGAAAAAATTTATCACGATTTACCCCTATGCATGCACCTACTTTTCCACCTCGTCATCAGTTCTTGAGATAATAATATGGTATTGTTTGTCATTTTTTATTCAAAGTACAATTGCATATATGCATGTCCTGGTTAAGAGTATAAATTATTCAAAAACAGAGGGGTAATTTCTTCTTCAGCAAGGGATCTCAAGTATTTTTTTTTCTTTATTTTCAATTTCCATCAACGTGTCCAATTCAACCTATCATTAAAACTAAACTAGGGGCAGGCAGTAGCTATGCATAGTTTAGAAATTGCACATCATATTCATCTGTAAAAAATCAGGTATTTATTATCTATATTGATCAGAAAATCAAATAGATTGTAGAGTATATAGCCTGTGAAAACAGTAATGTCTACTCCGAAATTCAGGCCACAATTTTAAATGGTCCTACATAAAAAGGAAGGACAAATCTCTCATAACCACTGAAATTTCACCAATTCAGTTATTTGGCATACGTTGTCTTAAATGCCCGTCTAGGTCCAGGGCCTATGTGTCACAGACATTAAACGATCGTGCGAAATCTACAATTCCAGTAGGGAATCGCCACCAAAAAAGAAACAATTACTTCTATGCTAGTCCGCGTATCACCTTTGAATTGATGTTCCTAACTGACCTGCCAATAAAACCAGAAATAATAACAAGAAGATGAACATACCGATTCCTTCTTGCTGTTCTGCTTTTCCTCCAAGTCCTTGAGCGCTCGATCCATCCGCTTCCTGCCGCCAAAGAATCAACCCCCCAGCATCAGCACAACTCGATACACCCCAAAAACAGATCAAGTTAATCAGATCACCAAACAACATCATCTCAATGGCTACTCACAGCTCAGCGGAGATGTACTCGATGCGCTTCTTGACGTTGGCCTTCGCCTCCGCGAGATCCTGCTTGACCAGCACCGGCCCGATCAGCTTGTACACGTTCGCCTCGTCATTCACCAGCTCCAGCTCCTGCGCGAGACCAGATCGAATCAGAAACCCACACCAAAAAAAAAGAGGAAAAATCCACATAGAGCGGAAGCAAGAGAGCGCGGCGAGCAGGGCATGCCTTGAGGACGAGCTCGTTCTCGCCGACCTGGATGGTGTACTGCTTGCGGACCTGGTGGTTCTTGGAGATGTCTGCGAGGGGGAAGGAACGGACAGAGCTAGGGTTAGGGTTTCGGGATTCCGAGGTGACGAGAAGGAAGGGGAGGGGAAGGGGGGGTTTCGAGCGTGCCTTTCTGGATCTTGCTGAGGGCGTTGGCCTGGGACTCGAGGTCGCGCTGCATCTCGCGGACGGCCGCCGGGGTGGACGACGACGCCGCCGCCGCCGCCATTGGTGGTGCTGCCTCTGCTCCCCTCCGCCGCCGCCGCCGCCGGATTCCGGTGTGGTGCGGAATGCTAGAGTTGGTGTGGTTTGGCCGTTTGGGCTTTCGCTGGCTTTCTTTTCCCTTTGTTCTGAGTTCTGACATCGGGTACTATTTTGGGCCTAGATGGGCTCAATTTGGCCTAGCTAATCTAACCCAAAAAATGCAAAATGGGCTGAGAAAAGCAAATGTTATTGTTTGGGGGAAAAAGTACACCGAAGGTCCCTCAAAAACGCCCTCAAACCGCAAAACCAGATATGCGGTGTCCCTTAACTATACAAAACCATTCACCCGAGGTCCTTCGGTGGTTATGACCCCAGTTTTGGCCTATGTGGGACCCACGTGGGCCCCACATATCACTGTGCCACGTCATCACCATCTCTCTCTTTCCCTTCGTCCTCTCTCTCTCACTTTTCCTCTCTCTAGGCTGGCGACAGGCGACGCTGGAACAGGCCTCCCATCCCGACAGCCAACGCCTCGCTCTTCTTCACCTACAACGAGGCCACGCACCCGCTCACGCCGCCGGCCTCCTCTGTTTGTGTTTGGTGAGTGGTGTTTGATCGGCGTCGGTGTTTGGTGGATGCCGTGCAAGCCGAGCGGATGCGCGCGGGGCTGGAGGAAGCGCAGCGACGGCACGTCCGGGCGCTGGTGGCGGCCGCGGCGCGCGCCCCGACGGGGAGGGTGCGTGCGGCGGAGGCCAAGCTGGATCGCGCATGCTGCCGCAACGCGGAGCTAGAGGAGAAGGTCCGCCAGATGAGGGCGGAGGGGCAGGCGTGGATGGGCGTTGCCAAGAGCCACGAGGCCGTTGCCACCGGCCTCCACGCCACACTCGACTAGCTCCTCCAGTCCCCCTATGCCGTCGCCGCCGCCACGGGGGAGGGCGACGCCGAGGACGCGCAGTCATGCTGCTTCGAGACCCCAGGCGGCGGCGCCGCCGCCACTGCCGCTGACGCGGTGTCCGGGGCGACGTCGTGCAAGGCCTGCCGTGTCACGGAGGCGTTTGTGCCGTTGCTCCCGTGCCGCCGCCTGTGCCTGTGCGGCACCTGCGAGGCCGCCGTTGATGCTTGCCCCGTCTGCGCCACCACCAAGATTGCCTCCGTCCATGTCCTCCTCTCCTGCAGTCACTCATATGTGCCACACCAGCCACTTCATGGAGTAGGAAATTTCGATAGCGCAACAGCTATGGCCAGACCGAAACCGGGCATCCGTCAGCCAACTCCGGTGTCAAGCAAGCTAACAACAATCATCCTGTCCCAAGTTACATGGAAATTCATGCTAGGGAAGCCACGGTTCTGTGCATCAGTGATCTCCGGGCCATGCGAGTTTTGTCGGTGGAAACAACAGTGTTCGGTGCGGTGAATTGAATGGTTGATTGCCGATCTCATCTGCCGCAGGTACCATTGCTTCAAATATTTGGCAGCCCGGGTCGGCACGCACGCCGCCCCGTCTCCCCGTCGGCCGTTGCTCGTCGGTTGTCCTCCCCATCGGCCGCCGCCCGTCCCGGTACCCCTTCTCCCCGCCGATCCTCACCTGTCGACGACGTCCCGGCGCCGCTCCCCACTCGCCGGCCACCGCAGCTCCGCGCCTCCGCTTCGCTGGCCGCCGCGCGCTCACACGCCGCCTCCGCCGTTCGCCACTCAACCCCCCCTCGCCGCCCGGTTGTCTGCTCCCTACCCGTCGGCCGGCCTGAGAAGAGTGCGAGAGAGAGAGAATGGAGGAAGGGAGAGAAGAAGAGGGGAAAGGGGAATTGACGTGGCACGCTGACATGTGGAGCCCACGTGGGTCCCACGCGCCACATAGGCTAAAACTGAGGTCAAAACCACTCAAAGGACCTCAGGTCACTGGTTTTGTATAGTTAAGGGACCCCGCATATCTGGTTTTGCGGTTCGAGGACGTTTTTTATCCCGATGACAAGTTGAGGGACCTTCGGTGTACTTTTTCCTTGTTTGGGATCACCTATACATTTGTCAATAGATGTAATTATAGTACAATCGAGAAGTAATTACACTGCAACTTGCATGTGACTTGTATGTAACTTTCAAATATCTCTCCGTAACATGATTTTGGTGAAACGGAAGTCGTGGGGATGAATCCTTTCACTGTGTGCGCATAGTGACTTTTTTCCTTCTTCACTTGTACAAATCTTGAAAAAAATATAATGGTTCAAAATTATGTGAAAGTTACATTGAATTATATGTAAGCTGTATGTAAATTACAGTGTAATTACATGCAAGTTAGCATGTAATTATACTACGATTATAGTGTGATTACATCTGTCAAATTTTTAGGAGAAAATTTATCGACAAATATATAGCAAAATTGTATTGTTTTGTGGCTCAATGTCCATAAAAGACAGAGTTTTTTAAAAAAATTACAGTAATATATTTTTCTTTTACAAATTTACGAAAATATACTTCTCCCACCCTTTAGGAGGTTATCTTTTTTATAAACCGCCTTCTGAGAGAGCAGCTCTAATGGGTTTGTTCGTTAGCAGGATGCTACAACCGGCTGCGGTGATAGCTGCACTGCAAGCAGTGTAATTTCTGCTACTCTACTGTAGCGGCTTATGAATCTCTCTACTGAATAGGTCCAATGACATAGCGCGGAGGGGTTGGAGTTTAACATATTGTTTGCATGAACAGATATGTGTAGAACCTGGTTTTTGCTGGAATTAAATGGAATTATCGAGGGAGTGGGATAAACTGTGTCTTTCCCATAGGACTTCATTTGCCACAATCACGTACGCCTGTAAAAAAAAAATTAAAATCCTATTTGGGTCCTTCCCGCTCTCTATCTAGACGGTAACTCGAAAACCGTCTATTAGAAGGACAGAAAGGGCCTATATGCAAAATTTCTAACGTGTCCCTAGGCCCCGAACCCTCTACGTCATTTCATTAGATATATCCTCTAGGATTGTAAAAAAGAATAATGTATTTCTATAAACTTAAAAGGAAAAATAGTTGAAAACATTGAAAAAGCAAGTGTTGGAAGATGGGCCGGCCTATATTGGATTAGACTTCTAGCCGAGAACATTTTTTGCAAGGTAGGCCCATGTACTTTGTTAGTTGCATATATTTTGCAAAAGTAAACTCCTCTGTGTTTCTCTTCCTCTTGCTATGGTTGTTTCTTTTTTAATGAGTTTTTTTTTGTTTTCAAAAAGTGGGTCTCTTTCAATGGTAATTTATCTTTTATGAGTTCCTTTTTTTCCCTTTTTTTGTGGAGGAGACTTAGGAGAACTTCTTGGTGTACCACAAGCTACAAAAAAGAGACTCCAAACTTGCAACTTGGGAGGATTCCTCAGCCCATCATATGCAAAGGCCAAGATGAGCTTCTCTGCAGAACAAATGATTGGGTTTGGACTGGCCAACAGCCATGCTTGCAAACAACACCAAGAGCAAGTAGTCAAAACAGCACCTTCTTTTCCTCCGTTTCCCCATCAAATTCCCTCTCTCATCCTCTCTTTACAAGGAATTTCTTCTTGATGGCCTTCTTTCTAATTCCTCTTTCAAAAATTCCCCACTGTTCATTTTGTGCCTACAAAACATGAAAGAAGAATCATAACGGCCATTGATTATAAAACTATATATGTTGCCACAATTGATGGAATGGAACCATTTGGGCGACCCATTTGTGTGCACGCTTTGCCTACATTGGTACTACTACTTTTGCATAATATCAAGACCGCCAATTTGAGAATCTGAGCCTAACCCAAAAGGAGCATATGAATATATGATCTCCTTTTGTTTTCCTCTTCCACTTCTTGTTCTTCTCATAAAATGTTGGCACTTGGATGCATATTATTGGATCCTCAGCCCCACATACTTGTGGAGGTCTCTCCTTAGACTCCAACCCACTTTCTCGAGATAATTCCTAGAAAAAGCTAATTGCATTGTGTTGCCCCCTCTTCCAAATTTGATTGTGTGGGGAGGACAAGAGAATATCGGTGCACTCCCACTTAAACTAACTCTTGGTGCTAGTGGAAGTTATGGTTAATTGCTTTCTTTATTGAAAGAAAGGGTGAGAGTGTGAGACTTCCCTTTGATGGACACCTTGAGGACCACACAATCTCAGCCAACTATTGCCAATTCGACGCTCACTATCAATCTCATTTTGGGGTCCATTGATTTGTACATCTAGTTTTCTAGGACTGGTCTAAAAAACAATGCAAGAACATTGCTGCACAATGAGTCCCAAAAGAGACTATGGTTTGTATGCAAGTTTTTAGGAACCAAACTGAATATGTTGACGGCTCTTTCAGTGAGATCTTGAAAAGTATGATCTATTCTATATCAAAGAATCAATTGTGTATATGCACAATGTAACACTGAAATTTTTAAAATTAATTATATATACTTTAATAACTTTATTTCTAATATATATATAATTTAATAGATTTTATTTACAGAAATGTGATGCCAATGGAATATCATTTGTTATCTGTATAATTACAATGTAAAAAAGGAGATAAAACTAGTTAAAAGGAAGTGCACGAGTTTATTAGAATCAGGTAGAAATAGTATGATAAATATTATCATGGTCATACATATTTTTTGTGGTTCCTAATTATGCACATAGCTTAGCTAGGACCAGATGAATACCATATGACCAGAAATCCAGAATTGTATCAACCTAGTTTATTTTGCACTAGGGATAGTAGGGGTTTCTCTAGTAGCGCTTGTTTGCATAGTTTAAGTGTTCAAGTTGCTACTTATTTTTACCAATATTATCATTTTTGCATGCAAATGAGCAATTTCATCAATATAACCTGCGTTATTTCACACCAATAAATTATTAGGAGTTCGTATGCTAATATAAATTTCTGGTTTGAAATGGTACAGATAGAAAGGAATTACGTCACCTGGTCACAAAAGACACTTTTATCCCATAGAGGCAATTTTCGCCTCTATATTGTAGAATCATACACCTAGAAAAATTTTACAAGTTTATGAGATTTTTTTATGACAAACATGCACCTATCATTCTTCACACATTCAAAGCTCCAAGCTATACATTCTAGATTAAAAAGTAGGGTTAATTGGATCCATGCCATTGCAAATTTATCTATTCAGAAAAA